AAATTCTAGTTTTAGTTATGCATGATTTGAATCAACATTTATTAATTTTTTCCACTGATTGATCTGAGGCCAGTTAATGATTTTAAAATTAGTGGCTAATTAACTATTTGACTCCTGTAATTCTGTTTAGTACAACAAAAATTCATGTGCCTAAGAAATTTGAAGCTGTGACTTAACCTGATCATGGGTTATTACGTTATCAGAGAGAGTGTTTACATGGAAACCACTTTACAATTTAAAGAAACATATGAGATTAAGAGATTGTTTATAATATTGGCTTGTTGAGGTCAGGGAGTATTATCAGCGACTGAAGTAACCTACTCAGATTTTAATGTCTCTTTCAAATTGGCACTACTGCATAATATACTGTAACTCACGTTTAGTCATCCTGGTTAATGTCATTTTGTTGCTGATCAATGAGGGAACATGCTCATTTAAAGTTGTGCAGTGCTCCCTTATAATGTTGTTTGGCAGCCGCCTGCTTTGTCCACTGCTTGCAGAAAGAGCAGCCCTTGGAGCTAGGTGGTGGGGGCTTGGAACCAGGATGGACGGGCAGCCCCCCATCAGGCTATCAAATGCCCGTAGTTCAGCTTTCCCTCTCCCCATTGCTGTGTGCTGCTCCTGCCCTCTGACTTGGAGCTGCTCCCGGGAGCCTCCTGCTTGCTGTGCGGGGGAAAGGGGTAGGCTAATGTCAGGGTGTCCCCCATCTCCACAGAGCAGGTGTGGGGGACATGACAGGGCTCAGGAGGGAGGGAGCTTGCTGGTAGCAGCTGCTGTCTCAACTTGCTGATCTACTTAAAAAGGCAGTGGGATCAGCATACTTAAAGGTGCAATGCACGTGTCTCTCTCTCTCACACACACACACTGTGTCTCTCTCCCCTCCCTCCATTCGTGGTGCCTTGTAAAGTGCGAGGCTACACTAACAATAACCCTTGAGGCCTCAGCCGAGTGCTAGTCCGTCATTTAGCAGTAAGGCATTCCCTGGGAAATATCCCACCCTCTTCTGCGCTCTAATGTCACCACCTCACCAAGCTTCACAATAATCATTGCTGTGTACAGTACTATGTATATGTATGTATAAAATCTTTTGTCTGGCAAAAAAAATTTCCCTGGAACCTAGCCCTCCCCTATTTACATTATTTTTTATGGAGAAATTGAATTCACTTAACATTGTTTCACTTAAAGTAGCATTTTTCAGGACTGTAACTACAATGTTAAGTGAGGAGTTACTGTATTAGCTTGGTGGAATTTTTTTTAAATTTCAACAGGTAATATTGATCAATTTAAAGCCTTTCTCGATTTAAATTTTCAGTTGTGGGAAATCATGGGAAGGATGAGACAGTAACTTTAATGACATTAGGTGTTATCAATAGAAATATTTTTTCACTGGTTTGCATGTCCAGTAAAATCAATATTTGGCATTTACAGATAAAAGTCTAATCCTTCCAAGCCTAATACACCACACTGTTCATCAAATAGATACGTTTTACATAATGCAACGTTTCTTTTGAACTTATTCCATTGGACTTCGTATCTCGTGGAGCTGAGATCAGTGCTTTATCTTCCATGCTGTGATAGTAGGCAAAGGAGGTATTTAAAGCTGGCATGAAAAACTTAAACTTAGCATTTCCCAAGATCTGTGGGTTTTAAATTAAAAATTTGAGTATGTCCATTGTGGTTTTAATGTTTTCTAAGAACAAGCTCAACAGAATAATGGGGCAGATGTGCCTTAATGGACATGTTAGTGTTCGTAGTTAATGTTTTAAATATAGTGTATACTGTGCAAATTATAGTGACCTATTTGGTTTTCTTTGATAATAGATGTAAACAGTAAAGATCAGGTCAAGTCTGTCAGTAAAAAAGGCAAGAGAAGAAAAGATATTGATTTTGCTGAATCATTTGAAGGTAAGAATATATTTTCATTTAAAGTCTGAGACAGGCTAATACAAAGTAGTAGAAGTATGTAGAGTGGCAGAGGGCTCTGTGGTGTAGGGGGTTGGTGCACTGATCTTTTGCCTCTGGAAACATAAGTTCAAATTCCATTTTAGTGAAAATGAATTTCTCACACCTGTACTGCAAATCCAGTCAGTCTGGTACAATTGAGCATTAGCGACAGCTCTTGAGAGGCTGTTAGGGTTGAGTTGAATTAGCAGATATATGTAGAGCAGATTACATTGTACCTGGATACAGTACATGCAGCACAAATTTGTGTTCCCTAGATTTCTTTAAAAGGGAAATCTACAGATTCCTCAAGAGCTGTGGCCTGCTGTGGGTAATGAAAACAAACTAAAAATGCAAATTTGATATAAATTGAGTTTTAGACATGAAAAGTGAGTGAATAGATGAATTTAAAGGGGGGGGGAGGAGAGGGGGAATGTAGTCTTTACTACTCCCACTCAGAAAAACCCCTACAGCATCAGCTGTTGCTTTAGATCAGTAATATTCAGACTGAGGCTTGGGAACTACAAGTGGCTCTTTGCAGAACATATTAAAACCCTGATTTAATTAATCAACCAGGATGTGTTTATTATATTAACCCATTGTAGTTGATAAAATACTTAGTTTTATATATTCTCACAGCATGACTAAGTATTTTGTCTCTCTAAATATGAATATACAGTACTATTGTAAATGAAACAATGAATTCACACTACTGTGGCTCTTTAATAATTGAGGTCCGAGTGTCACTGCTTTAGATCTGAAAAACAACCTGCAAAAAAGGTTGAACCCTTTTTTTTGCTACTTGGTCAACAAAAGTTTACCTAAAGTTTTGTGTTTTTTAAATCTGCTTGTGTACATTAGAAATTCAGGTTCTGATGACTGGAAAACTGGAGAAACATCATCACAAGAACTAGGATTTTTAATTAGATAACTCTTTAACACTGGTTAAAAGATGTGTGTTAAAGAGTCAACATATCCCATCCCCTTAAAATTTGAGAGCTAAAAACATACAGTAGAATATCAGAGTAATGAACAGCTCGGGAATGGAGGTTGTTTGTAACTCCCAACAAAACTGCTGGGCCCTCAGTCAGCAGCCGCCGCTCCCCAGCTTTGACAGCAGCAGGGAAGTAAGAGTGGCACGGTATGGTATTGCCCCCTTTAGTTCAGCGCTGCCTTCAGAGCTGGGCTCCTGGCCAGCAGCAGCCACTCTCCAGCTGCCCTGCTCTGAAGTCAGGGTGGCAATACCACAACCTCCTAAAATAACCTTGTGACCTCCTGCAACTCCTTTTTGGTTCTGGACTCCCAATTTGAGAAACACTGGTTTATACAGATTTTACAAGGGAGTATCAGGTAAAAGCACACAAAACCAGATTTCCATGGCCATGAATTTGGTAAGGCCCTAGCCATTAGGCTCTGATTCTGTATGCTTCTGAGGCAATCCTTTTGAGGAGGAAAAAAATACTGGCACACAATCCCCAATCTTATCAGCCATCCCTTCTCTCAGAAAAACTAATCCCCAATTTTTTTTATACTAAACTATTTTAAAACTTACAAATACACTTGAAACAAACACTAGCAGACCACTTTTGTGAAATCAGTTCCTTCTGGATGCTAATCAGTGCTATTGAAATCTCCATGAATGACTCCAGAAGAGTATTACTCTTAAGACTCATTTCTGCTGCAGCATTGATTAGAAGTCAGCCAATTAATGACTGCTTAAGGGACAGATGGAAATATCAGATAATTAGTATTTATACAATTTTCATAAACATGTTAACACTTTTATTATATTTTGGATTGTAGTCCTTGACCCTTCATCTATCACTTGAACTGTAAACTGAACAGGACAGGGACTGTCTTTGTACAACACCTTGCACTAGGGGGCTTTAATCCTGATTGGGTCTTTAGGTTGCTATTACAATATATATATTACATTATTAAGCAATCTGTTCACACATCTCTCCCTGCAATGAAATGATAGATGCTTTTCTAGGAGCTTTAATAGAAATCAGATACTTTGGACAATGTTATTAAAGGATGAATGTTTGTCTGGTGGTGGTGCCTGGGAAAGTATAGAATTTTAGCTGATTACAATTTTCAATAATTTTTTTCTATTTGAAGGATCAAAGCAGCAAAAGAAAAGAAAACTCAAAGACATGGGCATGCTTGCTGCTGCAGAAGAGGTAAATCTGATCAGTATACATAAGAAAAAATGCTTGATCTCACATTTTGCCTGAATATATTTTCCATAAAGAAAATAATATTTGTCTCTCTTTAAAGTTCGGCACTCTTCTGGATGAAAATGTTAAGTCCAAGTTTGACAACATTGGTATGAATGCAATGGCTAACAAAGATAATGCAAGTAAGTGCAGTTACATGTTCTATAAACAAACTATACCCTTACGCTATTTGAATAGGTACCTATGCACAATCCTTAAGACAATTTTAAAAAAAAAGTCATTGCTTAGTTATTTTTAAAAATAAAAGTGTATTCCATTTTAAAATGAAAGTTAACTTTAAATCCACAAAAAATAATTCAGCCACTGCTCCAGTACAACTTTATGATGTATATAATACAACTGTACTTGTTTTTAAGGACTCTCGCCCTAGTCTAGATTTAATTGTACTTAGTCACAGCACTTGCAAGCATTTTGCAAAATGACGTGCAGCTTTTGACTTGCATCATTAAATACCTAATTCTAAATTATGTATTCCTGATGGGAATTTTTCTGATATAAAAGTTGATGTAACCAAGGTTTAGCCAAACACACCATGCCCCAGCTTTGGTGTATATGAAGCAAAAACAGTTTTCCCCCACAAATCTAAATCTGTAAAAATATCTACTTTTCAAAGTGGGATTAATCAAATAGATAAAGCATTAATTATACTCATTTCTCTGGTCTAAAAAAATTGATGGCTGCCATCCTAAACATTGAGTGTTAATGCAAACTATAACACAGGATCCATGAAAGCAATTCTAAAATTTGTGCCTTTGAAACAGGCCCAAAAGGTTTCAAGTATAACAGTTTTTGCATAATGGAAAAATTTGAGGTGAAAAATCCAATAGTTCACACTTTATTGGTGTTTTATGAATTTGGGGGTAGATTATTCAAATTCCAAACAGTGTTCAAAGGATACATCAGTTATCCACCACCTCTTATTTGTCATGTTCCTCCTCTTCCCTTGTAGGTATCAAACAGCTCAAGTGGGAAGCAGAGCGTGACAACTGGCTTCACAACAGAGATGTGAAAAATATCATCAAGAAGAAAAAACAGTTCAAACACAAAGGCCTGAAAAATAAACACAAAGGCAAAAAGTCAAGAAAATGAATCAGACATTTGTTTTACACTGCTTCTGTTTTTACTTACTTCTAATTTTTGCCACTTAGCCATTTCAGTCGGTCGTTCTCCCTTATTCCATAAACTCCAGCCCATTCATTGCTTTTGTAATAAACTGAAAATATATAAAAAAAGGCATCAGTGTCATCTGTTCCTCTTATGTGCATCTGAATTTCTAGGTCTAATTTTATTGGATTTGTATTCATCTGATTCTGAGTAGGAAAAAAAAATCACTAGAATTGTCTCTAGCTAAACATACATTTTACAACCTCTGCATTTCTGAAAAACATTTAGCAACAATGCCAAGCTAGAAGATAATTCTGTCAAAAAGACATAGAATCATAGAATATCAGGGTTAGAAGGGACCTCAGGAGGTCATCTAGTCCAACCCCCTGCTCAAAGCAGGACCAGTCCCCAATTAAATCATCCCAGCCAGGGCTTTGTCAAGCCTGACCTTAAAAACTTCTAAGGAAGGAGATTCTACCACCTCCCTAGGTAACGCATTCCAGTGTTTCATACAAGTTTTATGAAGTGTTTTCTTTTAGTTGGCAAGAAGTGACTTACCCTCCAAAATGGATGGAAATCTCCTGTTCATTGTATGCCTAAAATCTGGTAAGGGAATAAGAAAAAAAATTAAATATTCTCAAACAGTTGCACCAATGGAATGCATGTTTCTGTATTTTAAAGGTAACTTTCTTAGTCTTTAGTTAGATACTAACTAGTAGTGTGTAATTTAATTTCATTTAGTATTTTTCAGTGTTAGTCAAACACCACATTTGAGCTACTTTTATTTACAAATTTAGACACTTTTCTTGCCCATTCACTAGTGGGGATAGGCACAAAGCCTGATGGGTCCCTCTGTCATCTGGCTCTTAGGGTTGTAAGAGTGAAAAGGCTTTCCTTTTGCCAAAGATACACAAAAAATTCTCCCTCCTAAAATCAAGGAGGTTGTGAAATCTAAGGCTGTTTTAAGGAAGGGTTGAGCCAAGGAGCTTGCCTCAAGTTTATTACAAGTTCAAGCTTTGAGCATCCCTCAGAATTTGTTAGTCTCAAGGTGCCACAAGTACTTCTTTCCTCAGAAGAGTTTTTCCTCAACCTTTTTGATACTGGCTTGCTGCCTTCCTAAATGTGTCAGGAAGATCTTGGGGACTTGCACCAGCCCACAAACCAGTTAAGAAACAGTGCCTTAGAGCAGTGGTTCTCAACCAGGGATCTGAGGGCCACAAGCAGGTTTCAGGGGGTCTGCCAAGCAGGACAAGTGTTAGACTCGCTGGGGCCCAGGTCAGAAGGTCAAAGCCCCACCACATGAAGCTGAACCCTAGGGCACTGATCCCCATCACCCGGGGCTGAAGTCAAAGCCCGAGCAACTTAGCTTTATGGGAGCCCCTGTGGTGGTAATGTCAGCCCTGGCTTTTATAGGGCCGTGGAGTCTTTATAGCATGTTGTGGAGGGGCGCAAAGAAAAAGGTTGAGAACTCCTGTCTTAGATCTCTCCGTCAATAACCAGGCACCTCCAGACAACTTCCCTTATTTGGCTGCAGATTAACTTTATCAGTGCCATCCTGGAAGCTGAAAATAGTGTCTCCATCCTCTGTGCAAACCTAAATTTGAGCCGATGTTATCCCTTAACACACCTAAAGTTTTGTACCTAATGACCTAAACTGGAGAGAGTCCAGCAAAGGGCAACAAAAATGATTAGGGGTCTGGAACACATGACTTATGAGGAGAGGCTGAGGGAACTGGGATTGTTTAGTCTGCAGAAGAGAAGAATGAGGGGGGGATTTGATAGCTACTTTCAACTACCTGAGAGGTGGTTCCAGAGAGGATGGTTCTAGACTATTCTCAGTGGTAGAAGAGGACAGGACAAGGAGTAATGGTCTCAAGTTGCAGTGGGGGAGGTTTAGGTTGGATATTAGGAAAAACTTTCACTAGGAGGGTGGTGAAACACTGGAATGCGTTACCTAGGGAGGTGGTAGAATCTCCTTCCTTAGAAGTTTTTAAGGTCAGGCTTGACAAAGCTCTGGCTGGGATGATTTAATTGGGGATTGGTCCTGCTTTGAGCAGGAGGTTGGACTAGATGACCTCCTGAGGTCCCTTCCAACCCTGATATTCTATGATTCTATGACTACTACATCACCCACAGGCTTCCCTCACAACCTGTTTTTTTTTTTTTTTCCCTGAACTAGGATAAGGCGATTCTTTGGCTATTCCTGCCTTCTTTTCAAAGCTCTTTAGTTCTACATAACTCCATTTCTGATCATCTGATCTAAATCTGACCTAGAGTAGAACTGCAACTCAGATGGCAACCGATCCCTAACATTCTGTTTGAAGAGAACAGGTGTATCTTTGCATTCTGATCTGCCCTGAAGCTGTGCTACAAGTCACAAATATCTGTAGCTAGAACGGGAATTTTTTGGTTGATTTGGAAAGCACTCAGATACTAGAGTAATTGGTGGCATATAAAAAACTCTTAAAATCTCCTGGGAGAGCCTTAGCTCACAGTGAATCTGCTAAACCCTCTAGATCTGAGGGCTCATTTGATGTGAGCTCGGCTGTGTCTTGGGCAGAGTGAGGTTTCTCCAGGCCCTAATAAATCTCTCTCACATAATTTATGTGCTATAGATTACTGCTGGGGGAATTCTGCACCACTGCACGCACACAGAATTCATGTCCCCTACAGATTTTTTTTGCTTCCCCGCAGAAGCAGAACTTTCTGCCAGGGAATCATAGAACATCAGGGTTGGAAGGGACCTCAGGAGACCTAGTCCAACCCCCTGCTCAAAGCAGGGCCAAACCTAACTAAATCATCCCAGCCAGGGCTTTGTCAAGCCTGACCTTCAAAACCTCAAAGAAAGGAGATTCCACCACCTCCCATAGGTACCCATTCCAGTGCTTCACCAGCCTCACTGCAACTTGAGACCATTACTCCTTGTTCTGTCATCTGCTACCACTGAACAGTCTAGTTCTATCCTCTTTGGAACCCCCTTTCAGGTAATTGAAAGCAGCTATCAAATCCCCCCTCATTCTTCTCTTCTGCAGACTAAACAATCCCAGTTCCCTCAGCCTCTCTTCATAAGTCATGTGCTCTAGCCCCCTAATCATTTTTGTTGCCATCCACTGGACTCTAATTTTTCCACATCTGTCTTCTTGGAAGCTGCAAAAGCAGTCACATGCCCCTCCTCAGCAGTGCAGGTGCATCATTTCTGGTGCCCGGAGCAGCCAAGGGAGAGCTAAATCACCACTGTGGGTGGAGGTGGGGACATCCTGGCCTGTAGCTCCTACCCTGTGCTGGGAAGGATGGAACGTCCTCTTCCTCTGCATGGAGCAGCCACGGCTGGGTCAGACCAACCCCAAGAAACCTCTCCTGGCTGTATGAAGCTCCACACATCCCCTGCTTCCTTCCCTCATTGATCCCTCCACCCATGGTTGGGGAGCAATGTACACGAAGCTGCCCCCCATATCTGCCCAACCCCATGCATCTGGACCCCCCCATATCCAGACCCCCCTGCTGGGCCTCACCCCTTGCAGCTGGAGCCCCCTGCACCCAGACCATCCCCACTGAGCCCCTGCACTTGAATCCCCACCTTGCCAACCCCCTGCACCCAGACTGCATCAAGCTTCACTCCCCCAGCACCTGCTCCCCTCCGCGGAGCCCCAACCACTTTCACCTGTACCCACCTGATAGTCCCCTTGCCCATGCACCCAGACCCCCGCATTGAGATGCCCAAACCAAACCCTCTCAACCCAAACCTGGATCCCTCCACATTTGGATCCTGCTGGGCTGAGCCTGCCTGCCCACACCCAGTATGCCTGGCACAGAGGGGCAGTCCTAGCCCCTGTGCTATGTCAAGGTCCTCACCAAGTCTGTGTCAGCCATGAGGGGAGCACGCACTGCAGGGTGATCTCCCACCTCCATGCCACCAGTGGCCTGTGCTCCCCACTACCATGCTGGAGCCTCCCCATCTATTGACAAAATTTGCAGAACTTTAAAATATTGTGTGTATAATTATTTTTTTGGCACAGAATTCCCTCAGGAGTCTAACAGATCTAATCTAATAGATGAACAATTACTTTTTCACCAATACAATCTTTCAGCAACAAATGCTTAGATGACTTTTTTCTACTTGAAACTTTGTCCCTGTCCTTGGAGTAAGGTTTTGGGGAGGTAATAATTCCACAACAGATTACTAATCAGATCTGATCTGTTAGGCCAAAAAGTTTGCCCGCCCCTGGTGTGAGGGCCACATCGGGTTTCAGAAATTGTATTGAGGGCCAGTTAGGGGATGCTGTGCCTCCCCAAACAGCCAGGCATGGCCCAGCCCCTACCCCCATCCAACCCCCCCGCTTCTCGCCCCCTGACAGCCCCCCTCAGGAACCCTGCCCCATCCAACCCCGCCATTCCCTGAGGGCCCCCTTGGGATCCCTGCCCCATCCATCACGCTCCCTGTCCTCTGATTGCCTCCCACTGCCCCATCCGACCCTTCCTCTCATTTCTGACTGCCCCCCAGGACCTCTGCCCCATCCAACCCCCGCTTCTCCCTGTCCCCTGACTCTCCCCAGCCACCCCATCTCCTTCCTGACTGTCCCCAGGACCACTGTCCCCAGGACCCATGCCCCCATTCAACCCTCCTGTTCCCTACCCACACCCCTACCCCCTGACCACTCCCCTGCCCTCTATCCCACACCCCGCTCCCTGCCCCCTTACTGCACTGCCTGGAGTACCAGTGGCTGGTGCCACTACAGTGAGCTGAGGCTGCGGGAGAGGGGGAACGGCAGAGGAGGGGCCTCCCGGGCCAGGACAGTCCCATGGGCCAGATGTGGCCCGCAGGCTGTAGTTTGCCCACCTCTGCGTTACACAGTTAATATACAGACTGCTGAAACAGAAATTTCATGATGGTTCTATTCCCCCTGCACCTCACTACCTCAGGATACATCTAACCACCTAATAAGTCTCAGTCATGTACTATTAGGCTAAGTTCCTGGGACATAACCCAGTAAATTCTCTCTCCTCTTAAGCACAGTCTCCCCCTACCCCAATATTGCATGCACAGTTGATTTCTTCACAACTACTCTGTTTACAGAAAAAGGCAAGAGAAAACAGGAAAATGAGAGTAGAAAAACGGTATGGACTGGTGTGAACATAAGTTTCAACTTTTTAATTTAGGGCATCAACATTCTGCTACCTTATCCACTCTCTACTAATTTTTCACTTTTAGTGTAAGAAACGTTGGTACCCACTATCAGGAGTACTTTCTAAAACCATTTTATTACCTTGACTTGTATCCATTCTGTAAAATAGTAAATACACTCCAGCGACCCCAGCCACTTCCAAAAGTAGAACTCCTTTGAAGATCTTTCTTGCAACAGGTTCCATGCCTAACTTTCAAAAATAGATTTGGATAAGCACTACTATAAAGATGCTAATGTTTTCATTCTTGAACTAAAATTGTAATAAAGATACCATAAGAATTTCTGCTTATTCTTAAATCATTAAACATCTTCACCTTGAGTTCATCGGAGTACTGCAAGCGTGGAATGCGTCAAATATACTGACTAGGGATGAAACCAATAGCCACCAGAGTCCATGGGAGTTTCTATTGACTTCAGTGGGTGCTGGATCAGGCCCAAGAAGGAGCATTTAGCATATTACCTTGAAACCCTATAGATTTTTATTTTTTTTTCTAGGTCCTTTGTATATATTTAAAACAAAATGTTACAAAAGTAACGCTCTGGATAGTTAAATATAAAGCTCAACATTTATGTGAGCCATATTCCCAAGCAAGGTTCCACGCACCATGTGACATCATTAGTTAGAGGTGTGCTAGTCCTCACTGGACTGAAAGGTTTGGTACTGACCTGCGCCCCCTTCTGCTTGACTATTGGGGCCTCCACCACATACTGCTGCAATTGATGGCACCCTGAAGAGGTGGCTTGCCAGTCACCTTTAACATCTGGAATTTACAGCTCTGAAAACAACTTTTGCTTCAAGAGTTGGCTATTGCATGGTGTCTTTTCCCCCTCGGCCGGCTCCAGGCCCCCAACTAGCTCCCATTAAAATCAATGCGGCAGACCCTACAGCTGTCAGAGAGCCGGGAAGGGAGTACAGGGTCTGTGCCAGCCGAGAGGGGCCCCGTAGCGAGCCTTCAGCCAACACACGCGCTCGCACTACGGCCAAGCCTGGCCACTCGCGGCCTTGGGATCAGGCCAGGGCTGCAAGTGGCCGGCCCAATGCCTAGCGCGCTGCAGGCGCCAGGCGAGGCCTGATTCGTCGGCAAAGCAAGGCGCCAGGGTCTGACACGGGCGGCACGAACAGCCAGCCACAGGCGGCCCCATGGCGCCCCGGTCTGCCACGCGGGGGAGCCCCGCCCGGGGGCCGCACAGCAGTTGAGACACGCAGAGGCCGGAAAGGCCGCGGGCAGGGGAGGGAGGAGGGGCAGGGGAATCCGGCGGGAAACCGCCCAGCGCGGAACAGGGCCGCTAGCGAGCAACTGTTAAAGCCAACGGGCACGAGAGGGGTTGGGAGCGCGCCCGCAGCAACTCGCCAGCGCCGCGTGAGGGGCAGGAGCCACGTGAGAAACACGTGACCCTCTCCCCCCGCCCCCAGATCTCGGCGAGGGCACGTGAGCGGCCTGCGGGCGCGACGGGGTGGAACGAAATGCGGAGGAAGACCCGCAACGCTGAATCCCCGCCCCGCACGGGGTTTCCAAGCCTCGCCCCTTGTGCTCACGGCCCCGACAAGCTCGCTCACGCCAACGGCAGCAACAAGCAGAGTGACCCGGAAGCAGAAGACAGATTCTACTTCCGCATCATAATTTGAGGGCTCGTTACGGTCACCCCAGTTCACCCGCTGCAGCGAGGGGCGCGCGGCCCAGCAACCAGCGGCCCTGCTCACAGCCCCGCGAAGCGGCAGCGGACAGCGCGCGCCCTCACCCCCCTGCGGCGGACATCACGACTCGCTGCACGTCTGCTTACCTTATACCCTTGAGAGGGAAGGACTCGCGCCCCGGCGCAGGCGCAGTCTGGTATTGCGCCCGTTAACGTGCGTGCGTACACAGCAGCGTAGAGGCTCGGTTTGGAGACGCTGTCCGTGCGCGCATGCGTACGACCGACTGCCCCCCAACGATCAGTCTCCGCACAGCGTAGGGGGTTCTAAGCAGCCCCCTCCCAGCACAGCGCCACCTGCCGCTACCACGAGCGCTCAGCCCAGCCCTGCGCTGCCCAACCTGCCCCCTGCTCGGAGCCGCCCCCGCCCCCACCCCCCTAACGCCCCCAAACATCCCGGGACCCCGCCCCGACCTGCAGCTCGCATCCCGGCCACACCCCGGGAGCCAGCACCTAGACCCCGCCCTCCAACGCGCCCCCCAAGCCTCGGCGCCGCCCCAGCCTGCTGCCCCGGGACTGCACCTCCAGCAGGGGCCAGACGCCCTGCCGTTGCCCTGGGCCTCGGCCCTCAACACCCCCCTCCCGACATCCCGTCCCCAACATGCCCCAACCACTCCAGCCCTGCTCCCAACATGCCCAGGGACCCCTCTCAACACTCCCGAACGCTCCAGCTGAGCCCCACTCCAGGACCGCACCCTCAACATACTCAGGACACTGCTCCCCCCACCGTGCCCCAAACACCCTGCCTTGGGACCCTACCTCCAGTACGTGCCAATCACCCTGCCCCCGTGCTGTGGATCTGGCTCCCAACTTGGCCCAAAACTCTCCGCCCCGGGCCAGGATCCTGTCTGCAACCCACACCAAACACCCAGCTCCAGGCTCTGCACTGGGATCCTGCCCCTAACATACTGCCCCATATGCCTGTGTCTCTCAGGATCAGATCCACTGATATTTTTAGAGCTTTTTTAAGTTTTCCAAGCAGTGAAGGATTCTTTTGTTTTGGAGGTCATTGTCCACAAACTGCACCTTCTGTTTTTTAAATATAGCAGGAAATGGGAGCTGTGTTTGGGCATTCCCAACGAAGGAAGCACAGGACTGACAACACACAACTACTGCTGCTTTGACTTGCAGCTGGTTTTGCCCAAACAATGGTGACTAATACCTCAAGTAACCTGTAGAGGTCCATAGTTAGGTTTTGAAACTATAAAGGGAGTGAGGGAAGCATTTGTGGGTTTGAATGGGCCAGGAAAAGACAAAGCTCATGCTCTGCCAGGCCTGGTGATGGCACCTGTGAATTTCCTTTCTTATAGGCAGCTGCTTCTATCACTAGAATAATGGAAATGGTGGCCCAGAGGCTTGGAGTGTACTGTACAGGAGATCTTAATATTTCACAAATATGTTAATCAGTAACACCCAAAGGAGTGCACCAGCTCATAATGCAGTCACAAAGATCACAGATTTTTCTCCCTTCTCAGTAAAATGTAGTTCAATGGCCTACAACCTTCTTTAGCTTGAGTTCAACTTCCAACCCTTCCTCAACATAGCCTTGAATATTATGAGATGCTGCTGACATGCTTGAGAACTTGAGCAGGGGTAGATGGAGTTACTCTTGAGTGGATCCATTCCTTTCTTTGTAAGAGAGCCCAGAGAGTAGGATTGGGGAATTGTTCATTGACTGAGAGGGCTCTCTCTTGGGAGCCACTAGGAGAGTTTGTTATTAAGTATGGATTAATGTCTTCCATATGCTAATATTACTCAGCAGTATATTTCAATATTTTCAGACTTTGCTGGTGTGATTGTAATAATGATCTGGGCATAGCTGAGGGCTCCTAGACCAGACTAGTATCATACTTACAGGGCAGAGAAACAACCAAAAGAAACTGTATTTTGTTTTAACATTTTTATAACATATAACAAGTGATGACTATTTCCCTCTTGCTCAATTATGGCTGTCATTCCCCGCTGCGTTCCTTCCACACCTACACATAGTCAGTGTTAGCCTCCCTTCATTGCTCCCAGTCTGCCAGCAGGGTGCAATGCGATAGCCATGATCTCTTCTCCCAACAGAAGGGGAAGGAGAAAGTTGCCATTGTGTGTTGTTCTCTGGTGGGCTTGGCTGCATCTCTACTGAGCCTGCCATTTGTGATACCCACCTGACCTTTCTTGCCTCTCATCTTTGACTGTAGGGCTCACAGGGCCCCTGTTTTCCACAAAATGCATTAGTAGCTCAGTCCAACTGTGATTACAGCTCCAGGTGCTGAAAATAGACAATTACTGTACAAATCACACACTGCTGCTTGAAACCTCATCCTTCAACAAGGTTCTCAAGCAAGTGCCTAACTTTAAGCTTGTGAGTAGTTCCACTAGAGTGCGTGAAGCATAAAATTAAGAATATGCTTATAATGCTTAGATACAGATCTCTACTGCTTGAGCTAATGGAAAAGTCCCTTAGCTACTACTAGCAAGTCCCATATTCTCTGTCGGAGTCAACTGCTAAAGTGAAACTTGATTATATACATAAATCCAGTGCATTACAGAGGGATCTAAATCTTATTCTGGGCACACTGGGGGGAAAAAAGCCCTGCTAAATGTAAGCGTTCAGTATTTTATTGTCTCTTTAGCATAAAAGGGGGACATTAATATACAATACCTTCCACTGTAGGCATTGGGATTTTAAGCTATGATGATATTTTAAACACTATTTTAAAGCTATGATGTTAGTTTTGCTTTCCTGGAATTAATTTGATTGTTATTCTTTATGCCTTATGCTTTTTATTGTACTGTCTTCTATTATTGTTATCCATAGACTTTACATCTGTTTCCTCTAAATCAGTGATATGGGGCTGAAAAGCTTTCTTTAATTACAGAAATAGCTTGCTGCCAAAATAAAAACAACATTATATTGGTGTGAGAAGCTTGCTTCCTGTTAATGTTATATAAGGTTAAATTTAATATTTTGCCTCTCATTCTTACTGATTTGTCTCCTATACCTGTTTGTCTCAGTGGGCCCAATCCTGCCACTCCTATTGGTCTTCAGTGGTACTACTTATAAGAGTAAGCCTTACTTTTAGGACTAAGTGTTGCTGAATTGGACCCTTTCTCCAGACCCAGGAAGATGGAAAAGGAGGAGAGAAATATACCTGATTGGGTGGGGTTTGCATATGGAGAACAACATGAGATATTTTGTTCTCAAGAAAAAAGGGAGTAGTGCTAGGATTTTTCTCCACCCTTCAGATCTGTCCATTTAAAGGCAATTGTTGTTCTAACACTGCAATTTCACTCAAAGGCAACAAACCTGGCAAAACAACAGAATAAAGTAGCTGATGAAATAGCGAAAGTGTTGTTACTAATTGTGATGGAAAAGTGACAGGACATATTGGCTGTTTTTGCAGAAGTTTAAGCTTTTCTTTAACATTTTTAAATTTCAAGTTGTTTTTTCCAGATATGGTTTACTTAGTGACTAGAAAACAGTCCAGACCAGAATATAGTATACCAATAGTCCATGTTCCTTTTTCTGGTGGAGTGTGGAGAGAAGCATTTTGAGACTGAAGAAATGGGGGTTTATGATTTTAAGAGATAATATGTAAGATGTAAGAGAGGATGTAAGAGAGGATCTCTGCCTTGCAAAGGGGTCTGCAGAGGAGAACCTGTGCAATTTTATTTAATCTTTTGTTGAGAAACCTGTTACAATAGAATGAATAAATGAGCTGTAGCTCACGAAAGCTCATGCTCAAATAAATTGGTTAGTCTCTAAGGTGCCACAAGTACTCCTTTTCTTTTTGCGAATACAGACTAACACGGCTGTTCCTCTGAAACCTGAATAAATGATGTAATCCAATTGGGGCCCAGTCATAAAGACCTTACTGTGGGCCTAATTGTGAGATATGCTGATCATCCATGGGAGTTTTGCCTTAGTAAGGACTTAAGAAATTGGCTTGCAGTGGTTAAGGTAAATATCTCAACCATGAAGAGACAGAAAGCCAAAGCAGCGGAAATGGGACAAATACAAAATGAGAGGTGAGCTGAAAATGTGGATCTGATTTGGAATATCTCATAATTTAGGGATTTTGGGGATTGTAGGTTTTTTTGTCTGGCCTAATATGAGGATAAGGGCTATTTACATAATTTGGTTTGGTTTATATTTCAAACACCACTACAGTTTGGAGATATTCAGAAATTCAGTTAGTTTAATGAGCCACACCTGGTTCTATAGCTTTGCACTGGGGGGGATTTTTAAAAAAATTCCCCACTCTTGCTAATACGAATGCAGCTTGTGATAAATCAATGATGGGAAATTTTAACAAGAGACAAGACATTGCTAATGAGTTCAGTGGAATGAATCTGCAACTCCCTGCAGGTTTCCAACACCTGTAACAGAGTGGGGCAGCTGGAGAATTTTGAAACCATGCAACAGGCATACATCAATGAAAAGGCATTTGTTAAGGGTTACATTGAACACGAGAAAGGAACAGAAAATATTATATATGTCTAATGTGGTGGAGTAACCCATTGGCAGCAAAACCTTATTTTTAAAAAAATTTCCTGACATTTGAGTGCTTAATCTCACAACCTTAACTAGCATTAAATGGAACTTTTGCATTTAATTTCCCAAGTTTTATAAAGGAAAAAATGGAGAGGATGGGCGTGTGTGTAAAGAACTAAAAGGAAAACAGGAAACTGCAATTTAAAACTCTGTCTTTGAGGTGCTAAGTTGATTCCCATTGGTATAATAACCAGAACAGGTGCTTAGCTCCTTTCAGGATTGAGCCTAAAGAACCACAGGTTAGCTCTGTAGGTCTAAGCATCTATTTACAGGTGTCTTTACCACATGAACAAATAGAGTTTAGCTATTTGGTAACACTATAAAAACAGGTGTCTGATTTCCATAGCCAGTTTCTCAAATGTGTCTGATATGAGCCCAGTCTGGGAAGGAGCTGACTGTCCCGTTCCCAGTGCTGAGCACCCACAACTCCCATTGACTTTACTGGGAGTTGTGGGTGCTCAGCACCTCAGAGGATTAAGCCTGATGAAAATTCTCACATTTGAATCTAAACTTCCCTTCATCTTCCAAAGCCTCACTGTTGTCATATTTCTTGTTATTTATTCAGGATCATGAAAGTTAAACTAAAGAAAATCTCACTATGTGAAATGTTTCCCACATCTTGGGTACGCACAATAGAAGAAAAAACATTAACTGATGTGGAAAATCTTTATGATGTGTGGGGTGAAGGAAAACATAGAGTCAGAAGGCAATACTCTCTGCTGTTAAACCAGATGTTTGAGAGGTGGTAGGGAAACTAGAGACTTGTATTTCAGGCCTATCAAGTAACGTCCTTAAGAATTTAATTTTTATTTGTTCATTGATGGTATGTGATGAGCAAGTGAGGGCATAGAATTGTAGAGAGTGCTGTTGGTGGCTCTAGTCTGCATTTAAATAAGGAGATGAATATCGCTTTATGAAGAAACAACAATAATAGTTGGCACTTCTACAGCATCTGCTATCTGGGGATCTCAAGGCACTTTACAAAGGTAGGGTGAATTCACCTCTGGACAGTGCCAATGCAAGGCAAGCTGATCACTTGAGACCTAGTGCCTGGTCTTCATTTGGCTTCTAGTGCTTAAGTAGGATTTAAGTAGTGCATAGGCCTTATATAGGGGTGAATTTCACCCATTCAGGTATTTAGCCTCACAACACCTGTTAAGCAGGGAAGTACAGTTAATTCTCTTTCACAGAGAATCACACTGAGGCAGAGATTATTATTTATAAAGCAGTGCAGGCATGTGTGGTGCTTTACTGGTGAATACAAAGATAAGATCTCTACCCCAATGGGCTAACGATGTAAAGCTAATATGAAAACAAGAGGACAAGAGACTGAAGAGTGAGGAAGTTGGGGAGAAGAATGGAGAAGGAAGGATAACATCCTTTCAGGCCACAGCTTTTCACAGAAAGCATGAGGTTAAAGCTGTTTGCATCATGCATTTCTTGTTGTTTCTGGAATGCACAGGGGGATTTCTCAGGGTAAATTATGGCTCAGCCAACTCTGCAGCACCATCTCCGTGGACCCTGAGGCAAACCTTCCAAGGGGATCTCCACAAGGACCAGGGGGATGATGCTATGGACCAAGGACACACATTGTTGTCACACCTTGCCAATCCTCTAGGGAAACGAGCATCGAATCATGCTGGTTACCTTTAGAGCAGAGTACTCATGGAAACCTCTGAAGAGGTGACTCCAAGGAGCAGAAACGGGTGGGGAGTGACCTAACAATACAGTTTCATTGGAGCAACCCTATCAGGTAGCCAGAGAGGTGACAGGACAGGGGGTTCCAGGCCCAGTGCAGAGAAGGATTTGGACGATCCATGAGTGTAGTACCCCTCGTTTATTTCTTAATAGGGGGTAACAGACACCCTCTCCCTGACAGAATTATCTGAGCTGCTTGGGGAGCTTCCCTACACCCCAATCCCTTCCCGCAAGTTATTTCAGGGAAGGAGCTATGTCCCCCTTGTTTTTACTATCTGTTTTAGAAATATTTTTTGAAAATATACAAATACATCAATGGCTAAATTCTATTCCTATTCCACACATCAGTAGGTCTCAGTAAGTTTGACCCTTATGGTATGGTATCTGAGCAGAATAAAGCCCAAAGTGCAGGCTGTCAAGGAGCAGTTTAGGATTTTGGTTGTTTTTTTTTTTTAAAGATTATATTGTATTTAGTCACGTGAGAGATCCAGTAAAATTATTTTCACATTGGCAAATTGTGATCAAAAATGCTTACAGTAACTATCCAAAAGAGCTGACATAATTGTTGCCATAACATAGAAAATGGGAATAAAAGGGGACAGCACAGCTACAGTTTCCAGAGGGAGAAAACAATAGTGCTTTGCACAATAACAGGCTGTAACCTGCAGTGGAAATTCACCAGGTCTAAGGTAACAATAGGGAGCAATGCCCCAAAGGGACAGGGAAGGATATTAATGATAGTAATATAGGCTTTTTCAGTCTTTCATTTTTATGACTCTTTGACCACAAGATCAAGCTTTAAAAGTGGCCAGAGACTTTATTATGGCCAACATTTTGAGCTTGCTTTTCATGTCTTACATACAAATGAAAATATTTAATAGCTACAGTACATTACTGGTTACAGAATGTTTGATTGTACTATCACAGTAGTTATCCCGGGAAATAAAAGATCTAAAAATTGCTAACCTCTCCCTCCCACTCCAGATACTGGTGTTGTTTCGAAATCCTCAAGATACCGCTGCATCGTTTTTCCATTTCTTAAAGAACATCTCAGACATCCCCAGTTATAATTCCTGGGATGAGTTTTTCTCAGAGTTCATGAGTGGAAAAGGTACAATTACTATTTTTGAATGTATCTGAAAGATTAAGCAGCAGAAAAAAATGTTTTAGACAAAGTAAATGGGGCCAATATGAAAACAGCTGTGTAATGCTAAAATTAATTGATAGTTATTGTTGCAATTGAACTCCAGAATGTGAGGAAAGTTCTAAGATAGTGCTGCTTCTGGGCATTATGTTGTCCCTTGAGTCATGAACTTGCATAGTAGTTTAATGTCTTGGGCAAAACCTCTGCCAACTAGGGCCAGCTTCAAGCAAGATCTGATCAGAATCAAAAGCGCTAGTGAAGACATTTCAGTTTCTGCATCTGGGACCAAACCAAAATCCCAGTTCTAAGCACTTCCAAAATGTAGGGAAGTTTAGATCTAGATAGAGATCTGGACTTGGCTGCTCAGAATGATGCCTAATAACAGCATATGTACTCATGGAAGCTAAAACAATAGTATCGATAGAGGAGTTCGTGCTTCAGGACATAAACCTCTAGCCTACAGGAGTCAGAGAGAAATCTTGCCTTCTCCATTGTACAACACTGCACAACTGAACAGATGTTCTGTTATGTTTATTTGCATGGGTATAACCTGAAGGCAGCAAAAGTGATTCTTAGTTAAAGAGAAACAAAAGCATAATTATTGAACATACAGGCTGAAGCTTGTTTTCTATCTCCTTTTCAGTCACCTGGGGTTCCTATTTTGACCACGTGGTTGCATAGAGCAAACACATTGAGGATGAAAATGTTATGATTATAACATATGAAGACCTGAAAGAGGTAAAGCTGTTGATACTTGGAGGCAAGACTTATCTGATCCTGTTCCTACTCAAGTCAATGGCAAAGCTCCTAGTGACCTCAATGAGATATGATGGCGCCCAAAACATATTATAGCAACAAGTTGAGCATGGATACAAATCTGTAACACTTAGCATCAAGGTGATATAAAATGCATTGTGTGTGAAAATGTTATTAATACGTCAAGATCACACACCAGTCAAAAAGGGAACTCCTTTTTTCAGAGCAAACATGTTACCCCTTTCACTACACTGTTTTCAGAACTTGGCTTCTGGAGCAAAGCAAATAGCTGAATTCTTTGGATTCTCTCAAAGCAGAGCAGATTCAGTCTACTGCAGACAGGGGAAACTTCCAAGTGATGAGAAAAAAATCCCAGGAGATCTATGGCTCAGTTGGTCCGATTCTCTTCCGTAAAGGTAAATTTGTGTTTAAAAAAAAAATCCAAGGATTGTCAATGATTACATTTAATTTAATTTTGACAGGAATCTGGAATAGGAGGCAATCAACCTTTCTTTCTTTCTAGTTATCTAGGTTAGAAATGGTTTGAGAAACACGGATGGTGCTTTTAGAGAGTCACTTGATATTTCCACATGGGTCAAAATCAATAAATAGACCACTTTGATTACCCTGTTTCCTTAAAGCATAGCACAGTCATGGCTTTCCCCAGCTCCCATTACAGTGATGGAGAGATTCCCGCTGACTTCTGTGGGAGATGGAACGGGCTCTAAAACTTGATTTAGGCCATTAAATCTCTACAGAATTTTCTTCTTGAGTTTCTTAGGCAACTACTGGGATTAATTATGGGCCTGAATCAAAATCTTGGATCTAAGCAACCTATAGGTTGACAAGTATCTTTGGAATGGACGAGACTACAGTCCCAGATCCATACATCCTCAGATTTAGGGGTATTCAAAATCTGGATCCAAATTTTGCAAGTGGGGACAATCTGTTCTTGCAGTTGTGAGTCATACTTATGAACTCTTTGGGCCTTTGCACTGCACCTTGCATAGTCTTTTTTACACCCGTGCAAATACAACCAAATCAGAACAAAAGCATTATATCCACTCTTTATACTCACCTTGTAGTGGTATAAATGACTATACAAGGTGCAGGCAATGGTGGATCAGGCCCTGTATGCACTTTTCCTCCTCTGAACAGATGTTTATTTCTGGCATATGAACATGCATTGTCCCCAAATACCATAATAAAGGAATCTGACATTCTTCTTTTAAATCTGTCCCTACAGTCATCATAGTCAAGGGTATCCTTTTCTTACTTTTGTTTATTCCAGGTGCTGTTGGAGATTGGAAGAACCTTTTTACTGAAGCTCAAAGCCAGGAAATGGATGCTAAATTTAAAGAGTGTTTAGGGGGAACCAAGCTGAAAGCAAATCTGAAGTATGATGTGTACTGCAAGGCCTGAGAATGGTTACAGAAAAGTCTCACTTTGATATGTTTTTTTTAATTTTATTTTTTAAATATACTCTAAAAGGAATAGTTTAAATCAGGACGAATATCTCAGTTGTAATTTGTAACTTGTTAGTGTAAGATTAAATTTCTACTAAGTTTGGTTCTGTTGTATTATCAGAATACAGGCTTCAGTTCGGTAAACCACTTAAGCACATGCTTAATTTTAAGCACCTGCTTCAATCCCAGTGTAGTCAGTGGGATTACTCATAAATTAAGCAAGAGTTTAAATGTTTTGCTGACCAGAGATAAGATTACTTGCACCACAATTACTGCTGTAATTTAGGACACCTAGATACCAGAAAGACTTAGCCAAACTGGGGAAAATTCATGGAAGAGCAACATAAGAGATCAGGGATTTATAAGGAATGAAATAGTGTAACTATGCACTGTGGAGCGTTGTATTCCCATTATCATAGTAGAACAGAAAGAGTGGAATTGATTAGGGTGCTTAAATAAGTAGGAATAATGGGATGACAGTGAGGAAAGAAATGTTTAGAGTGCATATCAGAAAACATTTCCTTAACCCTAACTGTGGAAGTGTCCCAACAGGTTTCTACAGCTTCTCATCACGTGCATGATTTTAAAACTAGATTGGAGAAAGCACTTGAGCATGTACTATAAAGAACAATTATATAGAGGCAGTGGGATGGATGAGACCTGCTCGGCTTTTTCCATCTCTGATTTCTATAACTCAAGGAGTTATCAGTCCATGCTCACTGATGAAAATGAGCTATGTTTCTAATATTATTAAAATGTACTTTGGGCCAGATTGTGCCTTTAGACACATACCCTCAAGAGTCATCCCACCAAAGCACAATTCCTCCCCTGCTCCACTTTTGCCTCAGGTAAGGAATAAATTACATCAGCCCTTGAAAGGGTGAAGTTTACTTCTCCCTCTTGCACCAAGCCAACTATTCCAGCCTGTGAGGGGGGAAGGGGTAGAGCTAAGACTCCATCCCCTTATGTCCATTTTCTTGAAGCAGCAAGTATCTGAGGGCAGAGTCTGAGCTCCACAACAAACCAGACCCAAGTTCTAGCTAGGCTGGGGATGGATGGGGCCTTATTTGCTCAATTGAGTAAGACAAGGGCATGGTCTAACCCTTTGCATATGCATTAATGTTGATTAATTGCATAGTACGCTACAGGCCTATAACCTTAAATGTATATTAAAGGTAATATATGCACAGTTGGTTTGTGAACTATCAATTCCATGTGATTAGTGCCATTGAGTTCAATGGGAGTACAGTAACTCCTCGCTTAACGTTATAGTTATGTTCCTGAAAAATGCGACTTTAAGCGAAACGATGTTAAGTGACTCCAATTTCCTCATAAGAATTAATGTAAATAGGTGGGGTTAGGTTCCAGGGAAATGTTTTTCACCAGACAAAAGACTATATTATATATATATATATACACACACACGGTATAAGTTTTAAACAAACAATTTAATACTGTACACAGCAATGATGATTGTGAAGCTTGGCTGAGGTGGAGTCAAAGGATGGAAGAGTGTGGGATATTTCCCAGAGAATGCCTTACTGCTAAATGATGAACTAGCATTCAGCTGAGCCCTCAAGGGTTAACACATTGTTGTTAATGTAGCCTCACACTCTACAAGACAGCACAAATGGAGGGAGGGGAGACAGTATGGCAGACAGAGACACACACCGTGTGTGTGTGTATGAGAAAGAGAGAGATGCATATTGCCCCTTTAAGCACGCTGTCCGCACTCTAAGTACTCTGCCTTTTTAAGTAGATCAGCAAGTTGAGACAGCAGCTGCGGCCAGCAAGCTCTCTCAGTCCTGAGCCCTGTCGTGTCCCCACCCTGCTCTATATGGAGAAGGGGTAAGCGGGAGGCAGGAGCAGGGGGGAGGGGGACACCCTTACATTAGCCCCCTCTTCCCTCTCACCCCGTCCTCTCACAGCAAGCAGGAGGCTCCTGGGAGCAGCTCCAAGGCAGAGGGCAGGAGCAGCGCATGAAAGCGGGGGGAGGGACAGATGAATTGCTGGCAATTGATAGCCTGCTTGGCGGCTGCCGCACAGGGAACTTAGGGGAGCAGGGAGCTGATGGGGGGCTGCCGGCACACCCTGGTTCCAAGCACCCAGCAGCTAGCTGCAACGGGCTGCTCTTCCTGCAAGCAGTGGACAAAGCAGGCGGCTGCCAAACAAGGTTATAAGGGAGCATTGCGCAACTTTAAACGAGCATGTTCCCTAATTGATCAGCAACGTAACAACGTTAACCGGGATGACTTTAAGTGAGGAGTTACTGTACTTGGATGAGCAAGGATTGTAGGGTCTGTCCCTGTTTTTTAAACTCATTTTAGCTGCAATGTGTTGTTTGGTAGAATTCTGTGTAGAATGCAATAAAGTAAGTACTGGCATTATTCAAAGCTGATGAAGTCATTGGAAATCTATTCAACATGTTAAATTGATTTTCCAAGAGATTTGTTTAAAGCATTCTATATAAATGAATCCTTTCTAACTGCCTGCCATTGTTTCTGGAGAAAGAATGGATATTGCAGACCCTAGGAGCTAACTAGATTTGCTAGTCTGTCCCCTAGCCCCTAGATAGATACCTGGAGAATGAAGAAGACTGACTGGCAGCTGGAGCTCACCTCATTTTCTTGCTTTCTTGTTTTTATCTTTTGTTTCCTTTCTCACTTTCCTTTTTGATGGTGTCTGCCAGCTTCTGTCCCAGAAATAATCGTTGTGAGTGAGATAAATAGTCTGGCAGAAGGAGCGTTCGCTCCAACTAAATTGAGAAAAGGAATGTGCTTGCATTTTCAGCCTCCCTCACCATGTAAAAGAACTGAGGCTTTACTACAAATGCTGTGTTCAGACAACATGAACGCACACTGGCAGCCAAATACTGTCACACAGGGTCCTAAAGGTCCAGCGTTAGCAAGGCTCCCCTCTCCAAGGTATTTCAGTGACAGCTGAATAGTTAAGACACTTTAGCCTCAGTACGTAGTTAGAAGGTGTCCTGCTATTTCCTTATCAAGTCGCCCCAAAAACCTGATTTGATTTTTTTTCTGGCCTGTTCCCCTTTTTATTTTCTTACCGTGTAGCAGCCATGTTCACTTCAGTAGGGAAAGTTGTCTACAATTCACTAAAAAAATCAAAAAACCCGAAGCAGTTGGGTTTTTAACATCTTTTTCATTTATCCCATGAGCCTGCTCTAAATGCTGGTAGGAGAAAATAAACATTAGATATGCCAAGTAAACACTGACTACCAGGGAGGGACGTGAGGGCTGTGAACGTAGCTGATTTTGTTTGTACAAGCTGCGGGAGTGGGAGGGAGGGGGCAGGTTAAAGTGAAACATTCCAACACAATTCAATATGACACAGCTTGTTACCTTTAATATTCAAATGTCAAATGTAGGTGAAAACAACATGATTTCTCAGGATTAAACGTGCATCTCCTAATACGTAGAATATATTCATGTGATCTTTTTGACAGCAGGTTGTTTAACCTAAGGCTGTTTCAGTATTTGAGGAACTACTCAGAAGGTGCTGCACTCTATATACCCTTACGCTCCACACACACTCACCAGCCATCTGCTGGAATTAAAAAAAAAAAACCAACCCACCCCCCCAAAAAACAGTTCAAGATCCTGATATAGAGGCATCCCCCTACTAATAGAAAATAAAAGAAAACCAAAATGAATGATTGTGGTGACTCTGGTGGTTTCATTCAGCTTCAAGAAGCAGGAATACAGTTGAAAACGTTAGCCAGTGGTCTCACTGACTTAGACATTTTAATGCAAATAGACTTGCTGGCTGACTAGAGATTACTTGCTTGTAGATGTCAAATCTGAGATGATTCCTACCGCTCAGAGGGAGGTGGAAGCACAACCCTCTTGATCAGACCTGCTGGCGTTGCATGGCTGGCAGCAACAGCCACGACAGCAGCCATTTCAGGCAAGCAAGCAAAGGCTTCTTCCTTTCCTTTAGTTCTTGAAGATGGTGGTCTGTGTCTGGTTCCTCCCTCTTGGAACTCCTCCGCAGGACTTCACTGGCAAACCAGAATGGGGCACTCTCCTTCTGAGGCCACTGGTGTCACCTAACAGGGTCTGACTAGATCACCTTTATGTAAACAAAGAACCTTTCTATTTCACTAGTGTTGGGCTCAGAAAGTCCACAAATCCAAAATTATATCCAGTCATTCAGTCAGCCATTCTAAAGGCATTTGAGGTCGTGTCAGTCCACAGGCATTATGTCAACTATTGTACAAAAGACCTGACTCAAAATTAATTAAAAAAAGCAGAGCCAGTGTAGCACCGACAGACCCCAGTTGTCGTCGGTCAGGGTCAAACCTGGGGCCTCTGGAGCTTAGTGCATGAGCCTCTACTGTGTGAGCTAAAAGCCACCTGGCTGGTAGCTAAGACTATAGAGCAGGGGTGGCCAACCTGAGCCTTAGAAGGAGCCAGAATTTACCAATGTACATTGCCAAAGAGCCACATAATACGTCAGCAGCCCCCCCATCAGCTCCTGCCCCCAGCGCCTCCCACCCACTGACAGCCCTGCTGATCAGCGCCTTTCCCTCCCTCCCCATCAGCTGTTTTGTGGCATGCAGGAGGCTTGGAGGGGGAGAGGGAGGAGCGAGGGCACGGCAGGCTCGGGAGGGTGTGGGAAGCGGGGGGCAGTGGGGGCAGGGCCTGTGGCAGAGCTAGGGGTGGAGCCGTGAGTACTCTCTGGCACATTGCAAAGTTGGCGCCTGTAGGTTGGCCACACCGCTATAGAGCAAACTCATTAATCTCTCTGTCTCTCTCTAAGGGTATGTCTACACTACGAAATTAGGTCGAATTTATAGAAGTCAGTTTTTTAGAAATCGGTTTTATATATTCGAGTGTGTGTGTCCCCACAGAAAATGCTCTAAGTGCATTAAGTGCATTAACTCGGCGGAGCGCTTCCACAGTACCGAGGCTAGAGTCGACTTCCGGAGCATTGCACTGTGGGTAGCTATCCCACAGTTCCCACAGTCTCCGCTGCCCATTGGAATTCTGGGTTGAGATCCCAATGCCTGATGGGGCTAAAACATTGTCGCGGGTGGTTCTGGGTACATATCGTCAGGCCCCCGTTCCCTCCCTCCCTCCGTGAAAGCAAGGGCAAACAATCGTTTTGCACCTTTTTTCCTGAGTTACCTGTGCAGACGCCATACCACTGCAAGCATGGAGCCCGCTCAGCTCACTGTCACCGTATGTCTCCTGGCTGCTGGCAAACACGGTACTGCATTGCTACACAGTAGCAGCAACCCATTGCCTTGTGGCAGCAGACGGTGCAATAGGATTGGTAGCCGTCATTGTCATGTCCGAGGTGCTCCTGGTCACCTGTCTGAGGTCAATCAGGAGCGCCTGGGCAGACATGGGCGCAGGGACTAAATTTGGAGTGACTTGATCAAGTCATTCTCTTTAGTCCTGCAGTCAGTCCTATTGAACCATCTTATGGTAAGCAGGCAGGTGATATGGATCGCTAGCTGTTCTATTGCATCATCTTCTGCCAGGCAGGCAAGCGATGAGGATGGCTAAAAGTCGCATTGTACCATCTTCTGCCGAGCAGCCCTGAGATGTGGATGGCATGCAGTCCTTCTGCACCGTCTGCTGCCAGCCAAAGATGTAAAAGATAGATGGAATGTATCAAAACAAGAAATAGACCAGATTTGTTTTCTACTCATTTGCTTCCCCCCACTCCGCCGTCTAGGGGACTCATTCCTCTAGGTCACACTGCAGTCACTCACAGGGAAGGTGCAGCGAGGTAAATCTAGCCATGTATCAATCAGAGGCCAGACTAACCTCCTTGTTCCAATAAGAACAATAACTTAGGTGCACCATTTCTTATTGGAACCCTCCGTGAAGTCCTGCCTGAAATACTCCTTGATGTAAAGCCACCCCCTTTGTTGATTTTAGCTCCCTGAAGCCAACCCTGTAAGCCGTGTTGTCAGTCGCCCCTCCCTCTGTCAGAGCAACGGCAGACAATCGTTCCGCGCCTTTTTTCTGTGTGGACGCCATACCAAGGCAAGCATGGAGGCCTCTCAGCTCACTTTGGCAATTAGGAGCACATTAAACACCACACGCATTATCCAGCAGTATATGCAGCACCAGAACCTGGCAGAGCGATACCGGGCGAGGAGGCGACGTCAGCGCGGTCACGTGAGTGATCAGGACATGGACACAGATTTCTCTGAAAGCATGGGCCCTGCCAATGCATGCATCATGGTGCTAATGGGGCAGGTTCATGCTGTGGAACGCCGATTCTGGGCTCGGGAAACAAGCACAGACTGGTGGGACCGCATAGTGTTGCAGGTCTAGGACGATTCCCAGTGGCTGCGAAACTTTCGCATGCGTAAGGGCACTTTCATGGAACTTTGTGACTTGCTTTCCCCTGCCCTGAAGCTCATGAATACCAAGATGAGAGCAGCCCTCACAGTTGAGAAGTGAGTGGCGATAGCCCTGTGGAAGCTTACAATGCCAGACAGCTACCAGTCAGTTGGGAATCAATTTGGAATGGGCAAATCTACTGTGGGGGCTGCTGTGATGCAAGTAGCCCACGCAATCAAAGATCTGCTGATATCAAGGGTAGTGACCCTGGGAAATGTGCAGGTCATAGTGGATGGCTTTGCTGCAATGGGATTCCCTAACTGTGGTGGGGCCATAGACGGAACCCATATCCCTATCTTGGCACCGGAGCACCAAGCCAGCGAGTACATAAACCACAAGGGGTACTTTTCAATAGTGCTGCAAGCTCTGGTGGATCACAAGGGACGTTTCACCAACATCAACGTGGGATGGCCGGGAAAGGTACATGGCGCTCGCATCTTCAGGAACTCTAGTCTGTTTCAAAAGCTGCAGGAAGGGACTTTCTTCCCAGACCAGAAAATAACTGTTGGGGATGTTGAAATGCCTATATGTATCCTTGGGGACCCAGCCTACCCCTTAATGCCATGGCTCATGAAGCCGTACACAGGCAGCCTGGACAGTAGTCAGGAGCTGTTCAACTACAGGCTGAGCAAGTGCAGAATGGTGGTAGAATGTGCATTTGGACGTTTAAAGGCACGCTGGCGCAGTTTACTGACTCGCTTAGACCTCAGCGAAACCAATATTCCCACTGTTATTACTGCTTGCTGTGTGCTCCACAATATCTGTGAGAGTAAGAGGGAGATGTTTATGGCGGGGTGGGAGGTTGAGGCAAATCGCCTGGCTGCTGGTTACGTGCAGCCAGACACCAGGGCGGTTAGAAGAGCACAGGAGGGCGCGGTACGCATCAGAGAAGCTTTGAAAACCAGTTTCATGACTGGCCAGGCTACGGTGTGAAAGTTCTGTTTGTTTCTCCTTGATGAAACCCCCCACCCCTTGGTTCACTCTACTTCCCTGTAA